GGTCCTTGACCAAGGAGAGGCATGAGGGCCTTCTGGAACAGGCAGCCAGTGAGAACTGGAGGTAGGATGTCCATCTCCCAGCTCTCTCTCAGGTGCTGGCAGGCAGCACAGCCCCTCAGGTCCAGTGAGGACTGGTCCTCCCCTGCCCACCCACTTACTCACAAATCCTCCCCCAGCATGCACTCCTGGCTCCTGAGAGCAGATGACCCCCATCTGGCTGCCACCACTGGTCAGCACATTGCACAGGTCCAACCTCAAATCTTCCCCAAACCTATGCCCTCTCCCCGGTCCCAACTTTGGTCCAGGCCCCGCCTCTCCTGCCAATGGGATCTTTCCGAAACACAAATCTGACCTGTGTGTCCCCTCACCCAAATCCTGCACCTCCAGTCTCCCGCCTTGTTCCTCCCACCCACTCCAGCTCCTCTCTGACTCCAGACCCCTGAAAAGCCTGTCTCCTCCACCTTCAGAACTTGCACACACCCCTTGCCAGCACCCAGAACTATCCACCTCACTTGACCCCCTTCCCCTGATCTGACACTAAACATCATGACACAAACCTCGTTCTTAAGAAGGCTCCCAGCACCTTTCTAAGAAGCCAGGAACCTCCACTTGGCCTCAGGATCATTCATGGCAACCATGGGGCAATGACTGCACCACTGTCTCACTAACTCCTTGCTGGCACATAGGAGCCGCAAGGGCAGGACCCAACTGTTTCCCACCCTCCTTTCGTAGCAAGCCTAGCACCAAACACAGTGGTAGACACACAAGAGGCAAGATGTCATGAGTTCATTCACATGTTGATTAATTGTTTTTTATCTGGGCCCTACCCTTTCTCCCTCTCCCTCCTTCTCCCACTTCCTTTCTCCTTCTCCAGGGTCATCAACCCCAAAACTGAAACATGCCCTAAGACCAAAGGGAGGGAGTGCAGAGAAAGCCCCATTTTATTTATTTATATATATATATATATATATATATATATATATATATATATATATTAATGATTTTTTTAAAATATATTTTATTGATTTTTTACAGAGTGAAGGAGAGAGGGATAGAGAGCTAGAAACGTCGATGAGAGAGAAACATCGACCAGCTGCCTCTTGCACACCCCCTACCGGGGATGTGCCCGCAACTAAGGTACATGCCCTTGACCGGAATCAAACCCGGGACCTTTCAGTCCACAGGCTGATGCTCTATCCACTGAGCCAAACCGGTTTTGGCTGATTTTTTTTTTTTTTTTTTTTTTTTTTTTTTTTTTACAGAGAGAAAGGGAGAGGGATAGAGAGCTATCGATAGAAAAGATTGATGAGAGAGAAACATCGGTCAGCTGCCTCCTGCACACCCCCCACTGGGGATGTGCCCGCAACCAAGGCACACGCCCTTGACAGAACCAAACCCGGGACCTTTCAGTCCGCAGCTGATGCTCTATCCACTGAGCCAAACCAGTTTCGGCGAAAGCCCCACTTTTAAAGTGTTGGGGTGGGGGGTCCGTGGTGAGAATGCAGGCACAAAACGTATACCCTGGCCTTGCTGAACTCTCCCCTGCGGACAGGTAATCAAAAATAACTGCTGTTAAAGAAAGTGAATGACACACCGGGTGGGCTCCCTGGAGATAGCACAATGACAGCAGAAGCTAATCAAACCTTTCTGCCCCGGTTACTGTGGACAACAAGAAGGCGGTTTCCCTAGGGCACATGTGTCAAACACAAGGCCCGCGGGCCAAATCCGTCCCGCCAGGCCTTGCAATGTGGCCCGCACCGCGCTGTCATCACTGCACTCCGCTGCGTTTCCATCACAATGACAGTTTATGACTGTTCAGTAAACCATTCGGCCCGCGATTTAGGCTGGATTTTAGATTTTGGCCCCTTCTCTGACTGAGTTCGACACCCCTACCCTAGGGGGTAGCAGCTACCATGTGGAAGCAGTCCAGCTGTGAGACAATCAATTCAGAGCACCCTGATCAATTCAGAGCAAAGTGTGGAATTTTCAGAGCGATTTCACATCATGAGTTCATTGGACGCTGCCGGGACTCTGCTGGCACCTCACTCTCTCAGGAGGGACGAACAGCATGGTCCGACCCCCCAGGACCACCAGCCCAGGGCTCCCTCCAGCTTACCTCAGGCTCAGCTGCCCCCATCCCAATAATCCACCAAGACCCACCCAACTGTGCCCACACTGTTCCAGAGTGCCAGGCTCTCACAGTGACTTCTGCTCTCATGTTGCAGAAACAGCTAAGATTTGACCTGGCCCATTTCCCCACTGCCCTCCTACTGTCCCTCTCACGGCCACCAACTAATGATGCCATCGTCCTTCCAACTGCTCAGGCCAATTGCCACAGACTGAATGTCTGTATCTCCCCAAAACACGTATGTTGAAACCTAACCTCTAATGTAATGGTGTCAGACAGTGTGGCCTTTGGGAATAAGTCATGGTAGAGCCCTTGTGAATGGGATTAGTGACCTCATTAAAGGGACCCCAGAGCCCTGGCCGGTTTGGATCAGTGGATAGAGCGTCAGCCTGTGGACCAAGAGGTCCCGGGTTCGATTCCGGTTGGGGGCACATGCCGGGGTTGTGGGCTCGATCCCCAGTGGGGGATGTGCAGGAGGCGGTCGACCGGTGATTCTCTCTCATTGTGGATGTTTCTATCTCCCTCTCCCTCTCTGAAATTATTAAAGATACATTTTCTAAAATAAAGGGACCCTAGAGAGCTCTTAGGCCCTTCCACCATGTGAGGAAACAGTGAGAATACACCATTTATGAATCAGGAGTGGCCTTACCAGACATCTTGATCTTGAACTCCTGGCTTCCAAACTTTAATAAATTATTGATTTTTCACAGAGAGGAGGAGAGAGGGATAGAGATATAGAAACATTGATGAGCGAATCATCCACCAACAGCCTCTTGCACACCCCCCACTGGGGATGTCCCCACAACCAAGGTACATGACCTTGACTGGAATCGAACCTGGGACCTTTCAGTCAGCAAGCTGACGCTCTATCCAATGAGCCAAACGATTTTGGCCCTAGCTCACTTCTTTAATCTACCCTGCCCTGTGGGTCTGAGGTCCCACTTTCCAGGTGAGGAATCTAATGCAGAGAGGAGTGTAGCTATACCCAAGGCACACAATGAGTATGTAGGGCTGTCCTACTCGTGGAAGGAGGGCCCACAGACGTGGGTGTGACGAAGCCCCTGAAACCACCAGGATTCCCAAGAGGAATAGTGGAGTCCCCATGTCTGAAGGGCCAGCTGAAAAAGAAGAGAGGCCACAGCAACAAGAACCTCCTCAGCCTCCAGCCATTTGCACAGGCAATGGGGGACTGGACTCCTCCAGAACCTCGAGGCTTAGCGGGCACAAGCTAGGGTGCAGTCAGAGATGGTTTGTTAGGAAAATTCAAACAAACCAAGGCCACCAACCCAGGAACAGACACTTCAGCTGAACTGTGCCAAACCCTCTCACACAGTGTCCTGGGCACACCTTCCCAAGGAGGCACCTCTGGGCGACATGTCCCTCACCCAGATGCCCTCACCTCACCCTCAGGAGCAGTGTGAGTCAGCAAGTCTGGGCCCCATCCAGACACCTTGAGGGAAGGCGGGCCAAGGAGGGAGGATGCCAAGGCCCAACGTCTGAAGAGCCTCCGTAGAGAAAAGGCTCCCCTGGAACTCGGCCAGCTAGGTACCTCATGGCGATGGAATTTTAGCTGGGAGGTTCAACTCCCTGGAGAGCACCTCCTTCCGCTAACAGCCCCAGTTTCAAACCTCTTCTTCCTCCGGGAACCTGAACCTCACGGAGGGCCGAAGGTGGGGCTGGGAGGGATCGCTCTAGAGGACAAGTGTCTTTTGTGTGAGCGAGCCTGCAGCCAGTCTCCACCTCCCCTCCTCCGGCCCTGGCGGAGGCAGCCATGCTTCATCTATCCCGGAGGTTCGGCTCCGTCATTAACGACCAGCTCTACTAGGCAACGGGTTTTTTGTTGATCCCTGGAGACAGGAAGGGAAGAGAATAAGCTTTTCTCTTTCATTTTTCCCCCTTGGTTGCAGAAAAGAGAAGTTGGAACAAACAAGTTATATAATACTAGGGGTGGTGGGGAAACACAGTCCCTTAAGGACAGTTTCTCAAGTTGTGGGGCTGCTAGAAGGGCCGAGGGGAAGACAGGAACGGCCCCCACCCCAGGCCAAATGGCAAAAACCTTCACGGGACAAAAAGGCAGACACCTCCTGGCAGACTGGAAAAGCAGCCTTCCAGACAAGGCCAGCAAACTCCTGCCCCCAGCAGTCCCACAAGTCTCCCCAAAAAGACTATGGACCAACCTGTCCATAGATGAGACTTCCCTACCAACTGCAAGCCCTAGAGAGCTTTTCCACACCCTCTCCATCCCTCCCCACCTGGCCATATTTCCTGAACACTTATTTCCTCTGTGTAGCCTGTGTTCTAGACATCTGAGACATGGTCCCCACCATCAAGCTATCTCCACTAATAAACAGACCACGCAGTGTGGAGTGGTGGTGATGTGATCAAGGGTACAGGACAGCCATATGATCCAGCAATTTTGTTCCTACCATGTTTCCCCAAAAATAAGACATCCTCCGAAAATAAGACCTAGTGCATGGAAAGATAAGACATCCTCTCCTCCGAAAATAAGACCTAGCGCAACTTTGGGAGAAAAAATTAATATAAGACACTGTCTTATTTTCGGGGAAACAGGGTATCGAGCCGAAAGAAATGAACACAGGGGTTCACACAAAAAATTAAATATGTATGTTCATAGCAGCACTATCCAAAATAGCCAAAAGGTGAGTCCAACTCCAATGTCACCAGCTAGTGAATGGATAAACAAAATGTGGTATGTCCAAACTATGAAATATTATGTAGCTATAAAAAGAATAGAATACTAATACATGCTACAATGTAGGGGAGCCTCTAAAACATGACATGAAATGAAAGAAATCAGTCATAAAAGATCCAGTATTGTATAATTCTATCTATAAAGCAGGTAACTTTAGAGAAAGTAAAGTAGTTGCTAGGGGCTGGGATAGAAGGGGAATGGAGTGACTGCTAATGGGAACAGATTTCCTCTTGAGGTTATGGAAATGTTCTGGAAATAGATAAAGGATACATAACAACATTGGGAATGTACTACACACCACTGAATTGTACACTTTACTTTTTAATTAATTAATTATGTTCATGCCTTCCCAGGAATCAAATCAGTGACCTCTTTGTGCATGGAGCAACACTCAATCCACTGAGCCACACCAGCCAGTTTAATTTATTTTTTAAACCCTCACCCGAGGATATGCTTATTGATATTAGAGAGAGGGGAAGGAAGAGTGAGAGAAAGAGAGAAACATCAATGCAAGAGAGAGCTATTGGTTGACAGGGCATCAAACCCACAACCTAGGTCTGTACCCTGACCTGGAATCAAACATGCAACCTTTCAGTATTCAGGATGCTCCACCAGCTGAGCCACACTGGCCAGGGCTGAATTGAATGTATACTTTAAATGAGTGAGATTTTTTAAAAAATATATTTTATTGATTTTTTACAGAGAGAAAGGGAGAGGAGAGAGCTAGAGAGCTAGAAACATCGATGGAAGAGAGACATCGACCAGCTGCCTCTTGCACACCCCACACCAGGGATGTGCCCGCAACCAATGTACATGCCCCTGACTGGAATCGAACCTGGGACCTTCCAGTTCGCAGACAGACGCTCTATCCACTGAGCCAAACCGGTTTTGGCTAAATGAGTGAGTTTTTTATGTTATGTAAGTTTTACCAAAAATAAATAAATAACAAAAACTAACAATAAACAAACCACACACACACAACAAAGTGACCAGAAAAAGTGCCCTCAGGCCTAGTTGAACACAGGTAATCAGGCAGGTGACTTTGGGAGGCTATGACCTTGGAGAGTGGAAGGATGAAGAATGAAGCATGGGTGAGTTATGCACCAGGCCTGGCTGGCCTGTTTGGAAGAAATGCAGGAAATAATAAATGAGCAATGCTACAAAAGCTTCTACGTTTAAAAAGATCCTTGGAAACTACTGTGTGCCACATTCTCCTTCAAAACCTGGTCTTTTTTTATTTTAATATATTTTATTGATTTTTTGCAATGAGAAATAGACAGAAACATAGATGAGAGAGAAACATCGATCAACTGCCCCCTGCACACCTCCTACTGGGGATGTGCCTTCAACCAAGGTATATGCCCTTGACCGGAATCGAACCCGGGACCCTTCAGTCTGCAGGCCAACGCTCTATCCACTAAGCCAAACCGGTTAGGGCCTGGCTTCTTTTTGTATGCTCCATATTAGCACAATTTACAATAGCTAAGATTTGGAAACAACCTAAGTGCCCATCAGCAGATGAGTAGATTTAAAAACTGTGGTATATCTACACAATGGTATACTATGCCACTATAAAAAAGAAGGAACTTTTACCATTTACAACAGCATGGATAGAACTGAAGAGCATCATGCTAAGTAAAATAAGCCAGTCAGAGAAAGACAAATATCACATGATCTCACTCATATGTGGGATATAATGATCAACATAATTCGATGAAAAAGAACAGATCCAGAGACAAATGGCAGGGGAGGGGAGTTAGAGAGCAACCAAAGGACTTGTATGCATGCATATTAGCATAACCAAAATCAATCAACAAATAAAATTTTAGATCAATAAGAAGATAACTCAACTAAAATATGGGCAAAATTTTGAAGACACTAGGGTGGTGGGGGTGGGAATGACTGGCGGGGCGCAGGGGGAGGGGGTCAGGCAGCGAACAGGAGACATATGTATGTAAAACTTTAGACAATAAGTTAAAAAAAAAAGTGCCTCCATTTAGAAAAGATTTCTTAGATATTACATTAAAAGCATCCTTGGCTGGTCTGGCTCAATGCATAGAGCGTCAGCCTGCAGGCTCAAGGGTCCCAGGTTCGATTCCGGTCAAAGGCATGTACCTTGGTTGCAGGCACATACCCAATGGGGAGTGTGCAGGAGGCAGCTGATCGATGTTTCTCTCTCATCGATGTTTCTAACTCTCTATCCTTCTCCCTTCCCCTCTGTAAAAAAATTAATAATATATATATATATATATATATATATATATATATATATATACATATTTTTTTTTAAAGCATGGTCCATAAAAGAAGAGCATTGGTAAACTCCATCTCATCGAAATAATAAACACTTGCCCAATGAAAGATATTTAAAAATGAAAAGACAACTTGCAGAATAGGAGAAAATATTTGCAAATCATGTATCTGATAAAGGGCTTGAATCCAGAATACATAAAGAACTCTTAAAAGTCAATAAGAGCCCTGGCTGGGTAGCTCAGTTGGTTGGAGCATCATCCCGATACTCGAAGGTTGAGGGTTCAATCCCTGGGTCAGGGCACAAATAGGAGTCAACCAATGAATGCATAAATAAGTGGGACAATAAATTAATGGTGATCTCTTTCTCTTTCTCTCTCCAAAATCAATCAACAAATAAAATTTTAGATCAATAAGAAGGCAACTCAACTAAAATATGGGCAAAAATTTGAAGCCACTTGATCAAAAATATGAATAACCAATGAAACCATGAAAAAATGTCCAATATCATTAGTTCTTAGGGACATGCAAATTAAAACCAAAATAAAATACCAGTATCACTTAGATTTGCTAAAATTAAAGACTGGCCACATCAGTGTTGGTGTGGATGGGGAGCAGCTGAAACTCATGTACTGCTGATAGGAATGCAAAATGGGCTGAGACCGGTTTGGCTCAATGGATAGAGTGTCGGCTTGGGGACTGAAGGGTCCCGGGTTCGATTCCGGTCAAGGGCATGTACCTTGGTTGCGGGCATATCTCCAGTAGGGGGTGTGCAAGAGGCAGCTGATCGATGACTCTTTCTCATCGATGTTTCTAACTCTCTATCTCTCTCCCTTCCTCTCTGTACAAAATCAATAAAATATATTTTAAAAAAAAAGAAAAGAAATGCAAAATGGTGCAGCTTTCCTACCATATAGGACCCAGTCATTTCACTCCTAATTATATACCCAACAGGATGGAAGTATATGTCTCACAAAGATACATAATCAACCCAGCTGGCGTGGCTCAGTGGTTGAGCGTTGACCTATGAACCAAGAAGTCATGGTTCAATTCCCCATCAGGGCACATGCTCAGGTTTCGGCTCCATCCCCAGTGGGGAGCATGCAGGAGGCAGCCAATCCATGATTCCCTCTCATCATTGATGTTTCCATCTCCCTCTCCTTCTCCCTTCCTCTCTGAAGTAAATAAAAAAATATTTTTTAAAAATATATACATAACCAAATCTTCACAGCAACTTTATTTGTGATTACCAAATGAATAAACAAACTGTGTCCAACCATACAATGAATGGTACACTATGCTGCAGTGAAAAAGAACAAACTTCTGGTACTTGTAACAAACTTAGATGAACTTCAAAAACATTTTAAGAGAAAGAAGCCAGTCACAAGAAGCCACAGATTGTACTATCCCATTCTTGTAAATTTTCTAAAAAGGCAAAATTACAGAGAAAAAAATAACAGATCAGGGTGTGCCTTGGGCCGAGAGTGGGAGAGGGGTTCAGGGCTTGGATGGAACTCTCAGTCGTGATGAAAGCATTCTGAAAAACTGGCTTGTGTTAACGGATGCATACCCATAATTTATAAATTTACTTTTATTGAATTTATTGAGATAACACTGGTTAATAAAATTATATGGGTTTCAGGTGTACAATTCTATAATACACCATCTATTTTTTTAAAATATATTTTATTGATATTTTACAGAGAGGAAGGGAGAGAGATAGAGAGCTAGAAACGTCAATGAGAGAGAAACATTGACCAGCTGCCTCTTGCACACACCCCACTGGGGATGTGCCTGCAACCAACGCACATGCCCCCGACCGGAATCGAACCCAGGACCCCCCAGTCAGCAGACCGACACTCTACCACTGAGCCAAACCGGTTTTGGCTATAATACACCATCTATATATTGTATTGTGTGTTCATCACCCCAAGTCAAGTTTCCTTCCATCACCATTTATCGCCCCCCTGGTAAATTTATTGACAGTCAATGAACTGCTCAGCTAAAATGAGTGAACAGTATTGTATGCAATTAATTATACCTCACCCAGGTTATCCCACCCCAGGGCCCACGGCAGGGACCTGGGTTCACCGTCCCCTCTTATCTTCTCCTGACATGCCACCTCATGCCTGGTCACCACAGCCTGCCCAGGTTACCCGCTGAGTGTCTTTCCAAACCCTCTGAATCTCTCTTGCTCCCTGCTGGAGGCCTCCAGAGCCCAACTCATGCATCTGGGCCGGCAGGCCTTTCTGGCCAGCACCACCCCAGGTCCCCACACCACAGCACACAAGTTCTGACCAACTTCATCATTCATCTCCTTAACTGAAATGATTTGCTCCCATAAGCTCTCCAGGGAGAAAGAGCCCAGATTGTGTACGCGGTCAGCCAAGGGTGGCAGGCTGTCCGAGGGGGCTGGGCTGGGCTACAGGGGCCCTGTGCAATGTAAAGGGGAAGGGGGGGGGGGTGCTCCCTAAGGCCGGTGTTCTTCCCCTCTGAAAACCCAGAACAATACATGTAAACATCAAGTTTTACACCAATTCTGGGGTTCAAGCAACCAGTCTCAGGACCTAGCCAAAAGGAAAGGGGACTTCCCTATTACCAAAAGGGGTGAATCCTGTCCCCTTAGTCTGAGGGCAAGACCTAGCTTCAAGTCCTTTAGGGGGGGTGGAGGAGTATATTTGAACCCCATGGGTTGGAAAAGATGGATCTTCCTTGTTTTCTTTAGACCTTCAGGAATCTCTCACCATCCTCAGGCTCCCCAAGACCTACTCTGGCCCCTCAACACCCCTATCCCCGTCCCTGCCCATCAAGACTCACTGGGACCCCCAGCCCCTAGGACCCCACAGCCGCCCGTCAGGTTCTTCCAGGCCTCTCAGGCCTCTTTCAGGTCCTCAGGTTCACTTGAGCCTCTTAACCCCAGCCTTCCACCGTCCTCACTCACCCCAGGTCCCCTCGGCATGCCCTCAGGGCCACCTTAGAACACTGGGGTCCTTCAGCACCCTCTAGAAAAGCTTGGGCCTCCGTCCCTGCAAGCTCCCTTCAGTCCCCTCCTCAGAGTCCCGAAAACAGCACCAACAACCTCAAGACTGCCCACTGCCCCTCCTCAGGCCCTCTCTGCCCCCCAAACCCCTTGGCATTCCAAGTTCCCAGTCAGGAGGTCCTAGGTGTCCCTTCAGACCTCCAAGCCCCCCAATGTCCCCTCTGGCTCCCGGAGCAACACGTAGACCTCTCGAGGTCCGGGGCTCGCAGCCCTCCTTCAGGTGGCCCCTCAGCCGCCCCTAAAGCCTGCGGTCCCCCCGGAAGGAACCTCGGGCAGCCCAGGACACTTGCAAGCCCCAGGACGCCCCACAGGTCACCGGAGCCGTGGGGCAGCGGCAGGCCCGCTGCGGGCCGGGTCTCACCTGCTTGGGCGCTCAGGGCCCGGGCCTGCACCGAAGCCAACGCCACCGCTGCCACCGCCGCCGCCGCCACCGGACTCCGCCATCTTACCGCCGCGCGTTCGAGTGACGGGGAGCCGCGCGCCCGTCCAGAAAACAGAGACTTGGGGATCAGGGGGCGGGGCATGCTCCGCGAGGGCAGGACCTGAGCGGTAAAAGGGGCCAGGGGGCGTGGTCTCGTGTGCGGGGCGTGGTCTGAGAGTGGGCCCGCACTCCTGAGTAGGGGAGAGGCGGGGCCTGTTGCAAGGGGCGTGGTCTCCAGTAAGGGGCGGGGTCTGAGGGTGGGCGGGGCGGCCAGGGCAGAAGGCCCTCGCTCCTGAGTAGCGGAGGGGCGGGGCCTTTGGCGAGGGGCGTGGTCTTGGGGGACGAGGGGCAAGGCTCAGTCCACAGAGAGGCGGGGCCTGGTCTGGGAAGGTCGGCGCCTAAAAGACGGTTGCATGGGGGGGAGGGGATAAAGGCGTGGCGATTGATTAGGGTGGGGCCGGAGAGAAGCGGTGGAGGGGGGCTGTCGGGACCGTGAGGTGCAGCAGGTCTGGGGCAGGGTCTGCTAAGAAAAGGGCAAGGAATGGAGCCTAACGGGAGGTGGGGCTTGGGAAACTGGTCCCCGAGCTCTGAAAACCACCCATCCCCTCCCAAAGTCACTCCATTTCCAAGACCTCCCTCAAACGCGGGAACTCTCACCCTGTGCCCAGGCGTCGAACTTCCACCCCATGTTTGAGCCAATAGGGACTCCTCTGTAAAGCTCCCAGAGCTTTTGAGGACACCTCTACTCCCACCCTTTGGGAAGCTTAGAACTCCGCCCAGGCAGGGTTCAGACTCCCAAGATCCTCTCTACCCTTAAGCCCATTTATTCTTTCACCCCCTGAGTCGGAAAACCATCTTTTGTGCAGCGAGCAAGACCTAGGGGTCCAGATAGGGGCTTAGAGTCCTCCCTGCAGTCAGCGCTCAGAGAAGAGGGTGGACATGGACTGGAGACTCCAGAGGAGAAAGCAAGGGGCCCCTTGAGTAGATTGAACCTACTGTAGATAGAACCAGACCCAACTAATCCAAGTCCAACAGAAGGTCAAGTATATAATAGGTGTTCAATCGATCGTTTGTGTAAAACGCTCAGGAATTGACACTTCAAGTTGACAGATACCAGGTGCTGAAGGGCCCTGCTGACCTCTCCAGCACACAATAAGTGCTTAATCAATGTTGAATGTGTGCGTGCATGAGCAGTGTGCATTCCCAGCAAGCTCTGCACACACACGCACACACTCTCTCCTGCCTGTGGTCGGCGGCCACTCAAGCCTTTGTTCCAGATGAACCACATGCAGGCATCAAACCCTACTCAGCTGAGACCTACAGCTCACACACCCGCCAAACATACGGCTGCAGTCAATGGCATCCATATGCACACACACTTCATAAACACCCAGATTCAACCCACATGTCAGACAGACAGCCCAAGATCGTTGGGCCCCTGGCTGTGTGCACATGCATAGCATGCTGCAGACGCACAGTGCTGTGCTCACACTAGGTACTCCAAGAGTGCATGTCACAGGACAGCCAGCACAAAGAACCTGAGGCAGGGTGCACCTGGAGTGCTGCCCGGCAGGGAAGGGTGGAGGGGAGGGGTGCTGTAGGTCACGGAGAGCGCGAGGATCACTGTGGAGGCGTTTTCCTACATAAAATGAGGAGGGGGCTTGTCAGCAGAGGAGATTTAACCAACATGACAGGAGGGGGCAATATCTTGAATAAGGGACAATACTTAGGAGTGTTCTAGGACAAATTATAGGGCTTGTCCCCGGATAATGGCAGAGAAGGGCTGGAAGGTGGTCCAAGCCAGGAGGTACTTTGCAGGCGGTGCCAATAGGAGATGTGGGGCGAGGCAGAGGAGACCAAGGTTCTTGGCCTAGCCCAACTGCCTGCCACACCTGAGATGGGGCACAGGAAGGTAGGGAACCTGGAGATACACCAAAGGTTACTGCACAGCCTCGTCCAATAATGGTGACCTGTGGTCTGGCAGACCTCACAAGCAGGGACACAGCAAACCGTATCCTGAGGCCTAGTCACCATCTGGCCCACAGCTGACATGGCTTGCTCAGAGGCAGGGACCTTGCCATCTGCTCCCCTGCTTTGGATCTGCTGTGGGACTCACGGTCCCAGGTCAGAGCTCAGAAGCCTTCTAGTAACCCTTAGGTGTTACAGAGGAGGCAACTAGGTTTGGGGGGTAGGGGCTGCTTTATTTCCTACAACCTCATGCTGGGGCCTCCTCCACCTATCTGCCCTTCACCACTGAGTGGCCTTGGAGCGAGCTGTAAGCTCCCAGTGATGAGTTTCGCTTCTCTATAAACTAGACAGATCATCCTGGCTGGTGTTATTCAGTGGTTAGAGCATAGGGTCACAGGTTCAATTCCCAGTCAAGGGCATATGCCTGGGTTGCAGGTTCATACCCACCCCAGTCAGTCTGGGCTTGTGCAGGAGGCAACTAATCAATTGATGTCTCTCTCTCTCTCCCTCCCTCCCTCCCTTCCTCCTTCCCTTTCATTCTCTCTGGAAATCAATGGGAAAAAAAAAACCCTCAGGTGAGGATTAACCAAAATACAAAAAAATAATAAATAAACTAGACAGGTCAACATCTGATGAATACTCACTATCATCACCCTGAGTTCTGCATCCATTTCATATATATATATTGATTTTTTACAGAGAGGGAGGGAGAGGGATAGAGAGTTAGAAATATCGATGACAGAGAAACATCGACCAGCTGCCTCCTGCACACCCCCTACTAGGGATGTGCCCGCAACCAAGGTACATGCCCTTGACTGGAATCGAACCTGGGACCTTTCAGTCCACAGACCAATGCTCTATCCACTGAACCAAACCGGTTTCGGCCCCATCCACTTCTTATGAGCCATGAAGCTTGGACAGGTTGCTCTAGCTATTTTTTTAACTTTTAAATATATTTTCTTATTGATTTCAGAGAGAGGAAGAGAAAGAGAGAAACATCAATGATGAGAAAGAATCATCAATTGCTGCCTTCTGCATGACCCTTATTGGGGATCGAGCCCTGACATCCTGGTTCATGGGTTGACATCCAACCACTTAGCCATACCATCCAGGACAGCTTTCCCATCTTTAAAATGACCCTGAAGGGCAGAGCACAGAGACCAGGAGGAAATAAACAATATACTGTGCTCAAAGCAGCTCAATTAGTAGCCTAAGTCCATGCCAGCTGATGGCACTTCCCCTCTCCCACACCCACTCTCCACCCCGCCCCCAGCACTACTTGACTTTTCTATCTAACAAAGTCTGTATTTTAGTTTTCCTTTTTAAAAATTGAGATATAATTCTCATATCGTAAAATTTGCCATTTTAGCCCTAGCTGGTTTGGCTCAGTGGATAGAGCATCGGCTGCGGACTGAAGGGTCCTGGGTTTGATTCCGGCTGGGGGCACATGCCAGGTTGTGGGCTTGGTCCCTAGTGCAGGGTGTGAGGGAGGCAGGTGATTCTCTCTCAACATGGATGTTTCTATCTCTCTTCCTTCCTCTCTGAAATCAGTAAAGAAATATATTTTTAGAAATTTTGCCATTTTAAAGTATACAATTCAATGGCATTTATTGCATTTGTGATGTCATGCAACAATCACTTCTCTCTAGTTCTAAAACGCTTCTATCATCCCCAGAGGAGGTCCTGTCCCCAGGAGCACTCACTCTCCATTTCTACTCCCCGGTCCCTAGTAACTACAATAGTAATCTGTTTTCTATCCCTATGGGCTTACCAATTCTGGCTATTTTATTCAGCATAATATTTATGAGGTTCATTCACGTTGTAGCGTGTGTCGATGCTTCACTCCTTTTCATAGCTAATATTCCATTTCGTCTATTCATTCACCCATTGATGGCCATGTGGATTGGCCCCAGACTGAGTGGGGTGGCTATTGTGAATAGTGTGCTGTGAACATGTGTGCACATGTATTTGTTTAAACACACAATTTCAATTCTCTGGGGGTATATGTCAATTTTATAGATAAGGAAACTGAGGCTGGGAGGGTATGAGTCAGCATTCAAGAATGTGGACCTGGCCAAAACCGATTTGGCTCAGTGGATAGAGTGTCGATCTGTGGACTGAAAGGTCCCAGGTTCAATTCCGGTCAAGGGCATGTACCTTGGTTTCGGGCACATCCCTAGTAGGGGGTGTGCAGGAGACATTCTCTCATTGATGTTTCTAACTCTCTATCCCTCTCCCTTCCTCTCTGTAAAAAAAAATCAATAAAATATATATTTTTTTAAAATGTGGGTCCGGTCTGAGGCTGGCCTCTGCCAGATACGTGTGGCCTTGGGCCTGGGGGGCTACCAGGACCCCTGGCTCAGAGGAAGAGACCCTGGAGGCCCTAAAGACCCTCTTGCACTTGGTCCATATCAGCCCTTACGTTATTAATAGTGTAGCGATGGGGACTGCTGAGACTTCTCCCCTCACTCAAAGCCCACTCTCCGTGTAATAAATCATTGGGACCTGCTTTGCCCATGAGGTCCTCCCAGCTTTGGCTCATCTCCAGGCAGTAATCCTGACTCTGTCTGGCTGTGGACTGACATCTTCCCCAACACCCCAACTGAGGTGGGCGTCCCCAAGAGGGCCTCTGATGCAGCCTCCCATACAGCCCACTCCCTAAGGGCCCAGAGCCCAAGCCCTTGCTGTGTGGCTGCAGGAACCCTTCACCCTCTGCGTTTGACCTTCTTCACAATCCAGGAAGGAATGCAGAACTGGCGATTCTTTTCTCAGGGCCAATTAGCGGCCCACGGTGCACATGCTGTGGATTTTTGAGCATCTGGCTCAGAGCCTTTTTGGAGGAAGGGAGACTAATTCTTCTTGAGGGTTGGATTAAGTTCATTCCCATTTTAGAGACGTGGAAACTGAGACCCAGAGAATCTAAGAGTCAGGAGTCACAAGGATTCATTCCTGCACTATGTATTCACATAATGTGCCAGGTGCTGTCCAGGGCTCTGAACCAGGAAGAAAACAAATCCCTGTCCCTTGGGAAGTTGGCATTCCAGGGGAGGTCAGATGATAAGAG